ATTACCTTAGGCATAATCACAATAAGATCCCAATTTTGTGATTTCAGTTTTTTCCACCTTAATACACAATAATACACAAATTACAATGAACACAATGATACTCATTCACTGTTAAATTAACATTTGATTCACAGTTATCTCAAATATTTATATTGTCTTCTCTGCCTCAGACCCACAGTCCAGATTGCAAAAACGGTGACCTTGTATTTCACCGCACCACAAAATCCGAGCAAATATGTCTGAGATACATGCTTCTGAGTTTTGCCCAGTCACTGTGTGCTCAACCTCCAAACCACACAGCTTTTGCCTGTTCGTTCTTGAAAGGAGCCGTGGTAAGCCCTTGATTAAAGCATTAGCCAAAATGTCACTGAAAATCACCGATAGCTGACTCTGACTGATATTGAAGAAAAATCATTTTAAATGGAGCAGTAGCGAAATCTGTCATTATATTGTATCATAGAATTCTTATCCTGATGCCTGCCCTTTGGACACTGCAAAGTCAAATGTGTAACCAACTGATACATACTGTCATTTATATTGGGAAATCTGTTGCATTTGCATCATGATTTGGTATATATTGCAGCACACTTTGGCAAGTGAAGGACAAGTATAATACATCTCTGTTATTGATCGTAACACAGACAGATTCTTATTTCTTTGAATCTCAGACAGCTGTAAACCTTTAGCTTTTCAATAAATTATTACCTGTGCTCATCATACTCATTTTTAACTTACTTTGACAAATATCATTGTATTTTATTTGCTATATTTTAACCCTGTTATGGATTCCTCTTGGTTTTACTTTTGAACTTGTCTGGTTGTCCTACATGTTCTTCTCTAGTGTTGCCTTCAGACTCCACTTCTATATGTCCTGTCTCTTCTCCCTACATGTGAAAAAACATCCTTAAATCTGGTCTCTTTTATTGTAATTTGTTTTAAAGTGTCTGCCAGCTAGATTGTTTGTTTGATTACTCCTTAGAAGGGTTATGTTGCTTCACCACCTCATTCTCAATAAAATGTCACATCTAACGACTTCTTTGATTTATTTAATGTATTTTTCTAGTTTGGGCTTGTATGGTATGCTTGTACTGTATGGTAGATAATATGTTTGTGTTTTTATTGCAGATATTCTCTAAAAATATCCTTACCAGCCTGACAAAGGAACAAGAGTTGTAGAAATAAACAAGTTGACAGGGTTTGGCACTGGTACTCAAGAGTACTCAATGTCAATGTGTGTAGATTAAGGATGTTACAAATGCTACAGATTTAAATCCAGTAGATGGCGCTCTACTACACAATATTTGAAATGCATAGCTAGTTACGATTGAAGATTAGGCCCATGGCTATTTTCTGTAATATAAAGAATGGCATATGTTTTATAAAGTCTGACACCACATTATTTGTTTAAAAAGAGTCTCTCACTAAAAAACACGAGATGATTGTTGTAGTTAATGTGCTATAACTGCATAATTGTACCACAAGACTCGATAAAAGGAAGACATTAAAATATATCTTGGCTATTTCTTCATTGCAGAAACTTCTTGTGAAATAAATTCGTTCTGCATCTCCAAACACATCTAAGGTAAGCCTGTTTCTTGTGCTATATTTTAACACAATAAATAATAAATTGCCAGAAATGTCATAATCCATTTATTCCAACAATATATTGGCTACCAGATGAATTTATTTGCGGACCCTACATTACTTATTTACCTGCAGCTTAGTTACATATCGTTGTCGGCGTGGATATCAACGTGTCCACAGTGGGTGAGTAGAGCCTCATTTTTCATACATTTTGTCCCCCACATCACGTGACCTGGTCGTGCCCTAAACGTCACCAGCCTACGCGGAAGTGAGCAGTGGCGATCATGGCAGCGGCCTCATCAACCTAGCAGCAGGAAGAGGATGTTTGCTTCCAGCGAAACACTAACAACACCCGCTGTAACGCCTGTGTAACAGAGCGAAGCGTCACCGGGATTTTCCGCAGAGTCCGCTGGGTTTCACTCCGCGCCTTTCGTCGCCTGGACCCGGGGCCTCTGCGAGCCGGAAACGGGTCACTTGAGATAAGATGTCCCTGTTCCAGTCGGCACTGGATTTCCTAGCCGGGCCCGGCTCGCTGGGGGCGGCCAGCCGGGACCAGAACGACTTCGTCGGACAGGTCGTGGAGCTCGGCGACATGAAGCTGAGGATCAAGAGGGTGATCGCGGAAGGTGAGCGAAGGCCCGCCGCGAGATAAACGCCCGTCGATAACGTCTGGCGTTCGGCTAGCCGTGCTAGCTAGCCGAGCTGGCTAACGGGCTAGCACCAGTGACACACTTCTACCGGTAGTCAATGACAATAGCGGAGCTCTGCGTCACCACTTGATCAGTGCGTTTCGTGTGCGTGTGTGTCAAACAAAGCAGTACATCCATTTCCAAACCTGTGTGTGTGTGTGTGTGTGTGTGTGTGTGTGTGTTTCTCTAATGACAACGTTGTTACCCCAGCTGCTTTCCCGCACACTCACTACGTTTACATGAGACGGGGGGGTCACCGGTAACGATGTGTCCAATAGAAGCACTGACCTGTGATGCCTTTTTAATATATTCACACATTAAGGCCACCTCGGTCACGTTGTAATTTAGATAGTTTACTGTTTACTTTATTCATTCCCATTGTGGGGGGTTTCTGTGCAGCAGGTAAGGTTACATAGTAAACATAGAAGTATTCTGTATGATATTTCAAAAATGGTCAATATATATATGATACAGTAAAATGACAGAGCAGAACATATTCAATTATATTTAAGAAATTAAATAGAAAATAAAAAAGTGCATTGAATACAAGGTATAAACCGTGTATGTGAGTATGTATATAAGTCAAGTCAAGTCATTTTATTTTGTATAGCCCAGAATCGCAAATTACAAATTTGCCTCAGAGGGCTTTACAGTCTGTACACATACGACATCCTCTGCCCCGAAACCCACCATCGGCACAGGAAAAACTCCCCAAAAAATGAAAAAACCCTTACAAGAGGGAAAAAAGGGAAGAAACCTTAGGGAGAACGTCAGAGGAGGGATCCCACTCCCGGGATGGACAGACTACAATGGATGCCATGTGTACAGAATGAACAATGTATAATACATGCAATTCCTATGACAGAAATGATTCAAGTAATTGTGAGTAGTAAGCCAGGCGCACAGCAGGACCACTGCAGAGGCAACCACCATCAGATAGAACCACCATCCACAGAATCCTGTGGGGAGGGAGAGCACAGAGATTTAGGGGAATAGTAGTATGTACAGTGGAGTGGAATAGGTATTAAATTGATCTGCAATGGTTCAATTCAACGAGGGTTTGGCCAGAGGTGATTTGTTATACACTCGATTGGCAGGAAAGTTTTCCTGTGTCTGTCCTTGTAACGGCAGAGGAAGTATTTAGGAATACCTGGTTTTAATAATATGTCTGGGTTTGACTCTGAAATTGCAGCCTGTATTTGTTTTCCAAGGATACATAAGCAGCTACCATGCACTCAATAGTGGCTGGTAAAGCAGACTGTAAATGTGTGAAACTAACCTTAATTTGTTGACATAGTCTGGTGTAAAAATACTGTTTGTATCAGATTGAACCTCAAACTGTAATTGATTCAGCCACATTTATTTGAACTGTCACTTGTGTTTTAAATTGCAGTGGGATCAATTAGGGCCCACAAGTTGCTGTTCAGAGTCCTTACAGATGCCAGCATGGTCACTCCAGTAGGTCAGAGTCGAACGCGCCTCCCAGGTGGAGCTTCAGTCGTTCAGCAGGCCAACTTGCTCCCACCTTTAATGACATTTATTACTCATCAGTTTCTACAACACAAAAAAGCAGTTGACCATTGTAGCACTCCTTTTTTTGAATTAGTCCTCTCTACGAACTCTTCAGCTAATGCAGAATGAGGAAAAGGTGTCACAAAAGCATTTTTGACATTGAAGAAGTTGAGGAGTCTTTTTTTGCTGAGCCACCTTACTTGGATGGCAACTTTTTGCAACTCTCTGACTCGTTCTGAGGTATTCGGTCTAAATGGATTGGAAAAATAATACAGTTAAGGCTAAAAAAAAACATCAATCGACAAGAGGATTTTATCCTGAAGTCTCTAAAATGTCCGAAAATGATAATCCTGTGATTCAATTTAGAGGAATATTATCCGAGACCGAGGTTTCCAAATAAAAGGCACATGGTAAGGCTTCACGTTTTTGCTCGATAAATGATTGCTTAACTGATTAGTAATATTGTTGTTGCCTAACTTCAATCACAGTTTAGCCTCAGTCGCTCTGTGTGGGGACTGAACATCCTCTGCTGTGATAGTCGGTTGCGGGTTAAAGGAGACGAGTTTTCCGAATACAAGAAAATGGTAAAAGTCCAGATCATCTTACGCAGAACCGCTCCAACTCTCATCCTGCTCTTTGAAAGGTGCCTTTGTTGCAACGCCTCAACAAGATCTTTGGAGGGAGAATACAATGGATGGCTGTCACCAGATGCTTCCAGTTTTTGGGACCATGACTAGTTTGTCTGTCTGCTGAATGAGCCACTTGGTTAGATAGGCCACACTGATTCAAGGGCTCACTTCAACCAACCGGTTTGTGCAGCCTAATGATGCTTTTTGGGTAAATTTAGGAAACCGACCTGATGAAGAGGTGGTTGCTGTCGTTGTCGTATTAAGCGACCGCATTGTCTGTATTCTTCAGGTTAGTGAGGCAGAGAGGAAAATCCTCTCGCAACTGAGCAGGTTTTTCGGATCAGCGGCACCTTGCTGGACTTCATTCCATCGGGATCTAGGTCGCCCTGTTGTTGTTGTATTTTTTTGTTGTTATTCTGGAAGGCGAGTCGTGTTCTGGTGGCGCTTTGTGCCGAGCGTTTGTAATGAGGTGAAGGGAGTGCACGGACTACAAAAATGCAGCAACGTCAGTGCTCTCCCTTTTTTGATGCTGAAGGAACGAGAGGGCATGAGTATTAGGTTGCTGGTTTGAATGCCAGATGAGGTTAAAAAAAAATCAACACTGTTGAAATATAAGCACTGGAACCGTCCTTTTGTAAATAACGCTTCTAAGATCGAGCGTGCCCCCTTTTTAAGTTTTCCCAACGCACATCAAGCTCGGTTGTTGATTTACTGATCACCATGGAAACCGCCCCCCTGGCCCTGTTTGGACTGTGACTTGTAGTAAGTACACGTGACAAAAGGTTTTGGGGGGGAACCAAAGGTCCTCGTCCACTAGCCTCATTGGCTTTGAAACCCCTGAAATAAAACAAAAGCCATCAGAAAAAATAAATTGTGAAGTTTAAAATGTTAATGCATTCAGAATTGTCTTATTTTGTCATATTGCTGCGGTGTTCAGATTTTTG